TTGATTTCCTGGCCCGCCTTCACTTAGGGCGGGCACGAAGCTTGCTGGGGCCTTAGCCCAGAACATGTACATCATGGCAAGGCCTCTTCTTGAGGGCTCAATCCTCACACGAGGGGTGAAATCCTCACAATATTTTCACAACCCACTTATGACAGTAGATTGCTTCTAGTGATAGAACTCCGGATCAGCTCATAGGACCAGCACATTGAACCAGCACATAGAACCAGCACCTCATTTCTGCCTCTTCTGCCTCATGACGTTTTCAGGAATGCTCTTGAAACTCAGCGCATCTTCCACCAACTCTGGACCAGCGCATTGAACCAGCTCCCAGGAATGCCCTCGAAACTCAGGCCATCTTTCAGCGACTTTCTCTTGTCATTCTGTGAGAAATACCTGGTTTTGTGGCCAAAGGAAAACATAACATCATGTCTTGAATACAGCTCATACGAAACTGAGAGCTGCTCTCTCGGGCACTCCCAAACGTTAACATCGACCTCCTCCCCATTCTCTTTTTTTTTTTTTTTTTTTTTTTTTTTTTTTTTTTTTTTTTTTTTTTTTTTTTTTTTTTTTCTTCTCAATGGGCCTCATTTTTTTTTTTTTTCTTTCACTAGCAAGTTAATTACGTGTTTGCTGATGTCCTTTGGCAGCCACTGTGTGGGGATTCCGCTGTGGATGAACCTGGGCCCTACGAGGGCGAGCTTACCTGTGCCATTGGGTTGGTCTGACGAGAGAGGGCTCTGAACTGCACCGAAGGATTTACTTTCTCCATTAATTGAAGGTCATTTGAAGATCATACAGATCTCCACTGGGATCAAAGACCAAATCCCAGAGGAAAGCAACTGGAAGTAATGAATAAAAGCATGTGGATCATACAGATCTCCACTGAGACAACCTTTGAATGGCGGAAAGGGTGATTGCTCCAATTGGAATGTTAACTCCATCCCTCCTGTCTGCATCCAAACCGCAATAATAGCATCTGTTTCCTAACAAATCAGAAAGAACAGAATCTTCACCCCACAGGACAGCTCAAATGGGACACTTCATAAATGCTTCCCTAGAGAAGAACTGGCGCAAGATGGTAGAAGATGTGGTAAACCTCCTCATTTGCCCGAAGAAATCAAAGAATTCTAAAAGAGGAACGGAAGACCACCTGGCATAAATACTGGAAAAGTATCGTAGAGGCGGGCCCGCTTGGGGTGATCTTACTTAAGGGATGCCTGGCTGCCAAGGATCTTTGTCATCGGCAATCCAAGGTCACTCAACTCACATGCAATTCTTTTTTTCCTTTCGCAGATATAAAGTCCAGTGTAGAAGTGACCTCCCAGCACATCCTCAGCAAAGATATGCTTTCAACCTGCCATTCCGATATTATGCAGGTTTTTTTATATGTTTCCTGAACTTTCCTCCCACCCCACTCCACCTTGGGCGGATATAATCTCAGTAGTGAGAAGTTGCTTCAATAAAAATATGCTGTCAACTTGCCCTTACGACATTGTGAAGATTTGACACCCCCACTCCACGTTTCCCTCCGACCATGTGATCTCTCTCTCTCTCTCTCTCTCTCTCTCTCTCTCTCTCTCTCTCTCTCTCTCTCTCTCTCTTCCCTTTTGCGGCAGGAGGTTGACCCTCTGAGTGAAAACGTGCGTCAGCATTTGCCCATCTGAGTCAATGTTCGCCCAGCCAACTTCCCCAGGGTGCCGAGTCTGTGTGCGGCACTACGTGAGCGCTCATGCAAGCAGAGCTCTAACCGGCCTTGACGCTGGTGCTCCTCATCAGTCCTCAATTTAACATTCTTGTGACAAATAGATGGGGAAGTTGCGGGACACCACTGGTATTCACCCCATGCTCGGGTGGTATGTCCCACACACCACTTCAAGACCCGGCATGCAGGGTGCCTGACAACAAGTACTAAATAAAATAAGCGCTTTGCGCTATTCAGGTCATGGTTATGATTGACCAGAACACTATCTTGACCCAACCCAAGCTGGGTCTGGATACCATCTGGAATTTTACATCTGATCTGGATGTCTCAATCTGATACAGACAAGGGTGGTGCTAAAAAACTTGAAAAAGATTCAAAAGAGTATTTTTAGCCTGCGTTCTCAATTGTCTTTGTTGTTTTCCTCGGATCTGGGTGCAGATTTCAAACAACTCTCAGCCAAGAGTCTTTGTATTGCAATGGTAGTATGCTTCACAATTGTTGTTTCTCTGATGGCTTTGGGGAAATTCTTGGCATACATTGGGGCGCTCATTCAGACGTCGTGATTTGAACCATGCAGACTACCAAAAGGAAAAGTGAGAAAAAGAACACTCTTGCAAGGTGGGAAAACTCTGCAGAGGGAAAATGAAAACACAAAAAGTGACCAGCACGTTCAATATTCAGCCTCAACTCTCCTGCAGGGTTGAAGTGAAAGGACTAGAGTGCACATCCTAAGGTCCACTAGGTGTTTATACAACCCCTACGATAGCTTAGTGATTCCGTTAAAAACTAAATTACAAAATGAATCTACTGTCCTGTGTGTTCATGTTCCTGACCTTTGACTTTTTGTCCTCCTCTGGTAAGCCAATAAACTATAAAACGAGAACTCACTTCGATGCTTCTCTCGCTCCGATGCCTCTCTCCATTATGGCTGAGAGACCCTGATTAGGCGGCATTGACTACTTCCATGCCTGGCCTTACTGCTACCCTCTCTGTAACCTGTCCCTTCTCTTGCTTAATATTCTTTTTTTTTTTTTCCCCAAAGGGCGACAGACTTGGGATATCATCTTTGAACTGGCCGGCCCCATGCAAATTCAGAGTTATTTTTGCCTCATCTGATTCCATTGGAATTCAAACTCAGGTCGGTTTAAACAGTTAGATGGGTTTACCAACTGAGCTATGCGACCTGTGCTGGGGTGGGCTGAATGTCATGACCGGTATGGCTTCAGTTTTGCGCACCGGGTCACATTTGCAGTGGTAAAGGCATCCGGCTGTTATAGCCAAGGTCACCGGTTCGATTCCGTCTGGCTGCGGAATGATCAGGGCTACAATGGCAAACTTACTGACAGTGTACGAGCGCAGTAACCAGCCAGGAGAGGTTACCTGGCTGATGGTGTCTGTGTGGATGCTGACAACTGCAGAGGGTCGTGGATTCTGCGTGGGCGCTGCCTCCTGCGGAGGCAAGGATGTCTCGCGTTGACGTGTATGGCTCCAGTTTTCAACACCGGGTCACTGTTGCCGCGGTAAAGCCATCCAGCTGTTATAGCCGAGGTTACGAGTTCGATTCCATCTGGCTGCCGAACGATCAGGGTTACAATGACAAACTTACCGACGGTTGGTGTGGTCTTGCTTAGTCTGTTTCGAGCCCATCCTTCTATGGTGCCTCCACTTTACGTGTTGGTCTGCTCCTCTCAGTCCTTCGCAGGCCGTCAGATGTGCTTAGCTTGTCTAGAACCGACCTGTTTCCAGCCCTTTCTTTTATGTTGCCCGCGCTTTACCTGTTGGTCTGTTCCTCTCAGGGCTTGGTAGGCTGTCAGATGCGCTTAGCTTATCTCGTACCAACCTGTCTCTATCCCTACTCGTGCTGAAATGCTACAAAATCTCTCTGTCGTTTCTTTCCTCCTATGCCGTATGAATGTGCTCTCTTCATCAGCTCTCCAGGTTTAGGCTAGGGGTACTCCCTCCACCGTTTACTGTATTCATGTCTCCAACTGTTATTTGACAGTGCACAGTTTTATACAGCAGGCAAAGGCTGATCAGGTATCAGCAGCAGTTGTCAAACTCAGTTGGTACGCCCATGAATTGTTGAAATACAGACCCAAGTTTGAATCCAGATGCAATCAGATGACCAAAATAAAATTATTCTGAATTACATGGGGCCGGTCAGTTCAATTAATATCTCAAGGCCGTTGCCCTTCCCTTTGAACGAGCATTTGTCAAAGGCTCTGATCCTCAGTGTTTGGTTCATTGAACTCCATTCCTGTTGTTGCTATTTGATTTGTTCCTTCATGAAGATTGCCGCTCTGGAAATTCGGTAGCAGTACTTGATCCCTGGAAAGCTGTTACAGTCGCAACCACAGATGGAGCAACCCCTCGTTCAACAGGAGCAGGAGATGCACCGTCAGTACTGACTTCGCCGTGGGTCAGCTCTGTCGCAATCGACTCCTCTGAAAACTGGCTGGTGAGTGGTTGGTTCTCCAAGTTAGCATCCATGACTCAAAGGCAAGAAGTTGATGATTGGCATTACAGGATGAGTTTTTAAAGCAGAGCAGCAGCAGAATCATTCTCAATCTTAAATGTGTGAGCAACTACCTGCTATCTTAGATTATTACCACTGGAAAGCCTGTTACAGCTTCGTCTGCAAGAAATGAAAAAAAAAAAACAAAAGAGAGCAGATATGTCAAAACAAACAAACGTTAACAAAGATACACATAGGGAAAAGAGGAAACAACAAAGAACCACAGCTCTCTCTCTCTCTCTCTCTCTCTCTCTCTCTCTCTCTCTCTCTCTCTCTCTCTCTCTCTCTCTCTCTCTCTCTCTCTCTGTGTGTGTGTGTGTGTGTGTGTGTGTCTGTAAACATGTAGTTTGTCCTCAGCATGGTAAAAGACCATGCACCATACCATCACAGTACCTTAGGAGGACAACAAACATCGGAGTGAGTGGAGTCAAGTATAATACAACCAAAAGGAACACAAGCAACAAGGGACAACTAGCGGCAGCAAGGCACATAGGTTGGAGGACACGGGGGAGGCAGGTGGGCATACAAACAGCTTGTGGCAGCAAAGGATAAGGCAATGCGCCAACCAATGACAAGGCCAAAGAAGCAAAAAAAGAAAAAACGCGCAAAAATCACAAGTACAACAAAGACCGAAAAAAAGGAACAAAGACTGAAAAAAAAGAACTGATTATAGATTGTTTCATTGGAGTTATATCGACTCGTCAGGAGGCTGAACCCTCGACAATCTGAACCCTTTGACCCTTGTTAAAGGCAGACTTTCCACAAATGGAACACAACAGCAGGCAACAACTCAGCAAGGCACTAGGCAACGCTGCCGGAGCAACCCAACTGCACAACGCCAAAAGACTAACTCCATGGATGACACGGCAAGTGGACAAACAGGTGGCAACAGCGCAGTGAAGCACCAGGCACCACCGACACAGCAGCCAAACTCCACGAGAAACAAGCAAAGAACAGGCATGGCAAGGAATGGGAAGATAGGCAACAAGGCAGCAGTGCAGCGAAAACAAGGCAACAACAACAATGCGGCCAAACCACACAGTGAACACAGCAAGCTGCAAAGAATGACATGCGAAGCAAGTGGGACAGGCCGCAAGGCAGCAGCGGAGCACGCACCAGGCAGTCAACACATCGAACACAGAGCAAAGCGGCACATCACCTGCTCACATCACGATTAAACCCCACAGACTGTTGGTTCTCACCACCCCCGTGAACCAGGGAGTCACTCTGACGGATGTCTGTCATCACCCATAGACCGTATGCACCACACAGACATCACGAACAGAGCGGTCCCCATAGTAGTGTAACTAGTGTTACAGGCGTTCTAAATGCCCCAACACCGACTGTTTAGCACTTCCCAATGGTGCTCACTCAACCACACAGAAAGTACTCGGGAAAAGTAGTAGGAAGGACAAACAACAAGAGAACGACAACATACATAAAACTGATATTGTGTGTGTGTGTGGTGTGTGTGTTTGGCTAAGACTGGCCTAAACACATTTGATTTACATTCTATCTTTTCTTCAATATAAATATGTCAACCAGAACCTTACGCGACAGCCTGCCAGTTCACAAAGCGACTGCATCCGGTCCGGGTAGAGTAATCAAACCGAGCTGTGGAAGTGGTGGGGGTGCGATAGCGCAAGGAAGGAGAGCCTTGGAAAGCCATAAAGATGCCGGAGGCGCTATGGAGGAAGAGAAGAGGAGGGGTTTTGCTTGAAGTGTGGGGATCCTGGCCATATCATTCCCTTCCGTCCAGAATTGAGACAAGCATCGAAAGGGAATGGTCAGTAGGACTGGCAAATGCTTCCATTGGGGTCCTCAGGCTTTGATAGACAGGATGAAGTGCGTGTCGATTTGGAAGCCTCTTGTCCACAGCCCCCTAAGGCGAAGGCTGATGTAGGCCACCACCTAGTTAGTTGTCCAGAGACTGCTTGTGTTAGGGTCTCTCTAGTTGGATCCATCGCAGGCATCGGCGACAAACTGATCACTCGCAGCCAAGCGTGGGCAAAATGAAGAAGAAGTCGAAAGGGCAACTGATTCTGATAGATTTAGAAATAAGTAGGACGCGAGTAGGCACCTTAGTCGATAGTGAATCAACCCATAGCTCCATTAGAAAAAAAGGTTGGAAAAAGTTGCATTTTGGGATGAAGGTGCTGGAATTGGACGAGCCGGTAGTCAGTATACTTGCAGATAGTAGACAAATGAGAGTGGAAGAATATGTTGAGGGGTTAAAGGCATACCTTCGGTTGGAGGGGGGGAAGAAGGTAGAAAACGTATTGCACTCCCTGACCCTTTTAGTGGAGGATAGTTTAGCCTTCGACATTTTGCTTGGGACGGACTGGGGAGAAGCTGCGAAGGCCGATGTGAAAATGGGCGAGCAGGAGTGCTGGCCGGCCTCTGAAGGTGCAAAGAAGAAGGTGCATTCGTTTTACGAATCCGAAGTCCAGTCCACCCTATCTCTTTGTTGCACGAGTGCCCCTAAGTTCGCTCAGAACGTGGTCAGAGGAAAAGATAGCTGACCAAGTATTTGTAGCCAAAGGTCGTTGGTGCTCGTCAAGAGTCTTGCTGAATATCATAATATCATCTAAATATACTATGACAAACCGATCTAACCATTCTCTAAAGAGGTTGTTCATACATCTTTGGAAAGTGGCAGGGATATTAGTCAGCCTAAACGCCATGACCATGAACTTGTGGTGGCTGTATCGCGTCCGAAATGCCATCTTGTGCTGATCTGTGGTTTGTACCTCTATCTGGTGGTACCCCGGTTTCAAGTCTATCTTCGAGAAATAATTGCAACCCTACACTCTACCTAAGAGATCATTGATGTGCGGTAGCGCTTCTACATTTTTAATGGTAATTGCGTTGAGACCCCTATAGCCTACACACATTCGCAGTTCACCCTCCTCCTTAGGCACGAATAGAAGCAGTGCACACCGTACGACGATGAACTTAGCTTGATCCATCCCTTTTCAATTAACTCGTCCAACTATCTACACAGTTCCTCTAATCTACGTGGAGACGAACAATAAATGGGCCTCTTTGGGATCCTGCTACTGGGCTCTATTTCAATATGGTCCCAAGAGGCTTAGTTCAGACTGAACCCAAAGAAGTGTGAGTGGGCCAAGTGTCAGATTCTACGCTTAGGACACGTGGTAGATGGGGATGGAGATAGACCAGGATGATGTTAAGATTGCAGCCATTTGGGACTGGCTAATGCGATGCATATTTACAGAATTGCAAATGTTCCTTGGCTTGGCCGATACAACCGTGCTAATGGAACAAAGATTGCACATCTGCTTTCAAGAAGCTGAAAAAGTGTCTAATTGAGTACCCGATCCTAAGGATAGTTGATCGGTCTTTTCCATTTATAGTAACGACAGACACAAGTCAGTATGGCATTGGTGTTGTACTCCAAAAGAACTACGAAGATGAGTACTGGCCCATCGAGTGCATGTCTAGGAGACTGCCTAGCAAGAAGGTCGCTGCATCGACCTACAAGCGAGAGTTGTTTGCGTTGAAAGAGGCCCTAGGACATTGGTGACATTACCTATTAGGTAGGCTTTAAAAGTGTACACCGATCATGAGATACATCGCTGGCGGAATACTCAAGCACGTATGTCCACGAAGTTAGCTAGATGGGCAACAGAGATAGACAAATTAGACTTCGAACTCAAGCCAGTCAAAGGAAATACAATGTCGTCGCTGGTGCACTTAGTGGAAGGGCCGGTTTCTTTGGAGTTACCTAGATGCAGGGAGCAGCTGCAGCAGAAGATTAGGGTTGCATACCTGGATTGAAACGGTTTTCACCTTTTTGCAATCACAGATGCGGGCCCTAGAGTTCGATCCCCAGACCTTACCTTACCCATGTACAGTATCGAGTTGACCCCCGAGTGTTTGAACCCGCGACCTGTGTTTTGGTAGTTGGCTGTTGTTTGTCGTAGGTCTGTGTTGTTGTAGGGGTTCGATCTGTAGGTCTATCGAGAAGGGGTCATAGCTGTGTAGAGGTCGTAGCTGTAGCATTTCTGAAAGGTTAAGGTCATAGCTGCTACAGTCCTGAAAGGTCAAGGTCGTAGCTGCTACAGTCCCGAAAGGCCAAGTCCACAAACTTCCGGAAGGTCCGGAAGTGGCCTTTCGAGAGTTTCTCACACTTAGTCAGAGGCAAGTGGGCAAGTGGTGAGTCCAACTTCGCTTAGTCAGCGGTACCTAGTCCCAGTCTCACTTTGCACAGTCAGCAAGTACCATGAGGGACTGCGTGCACCATGGGCCCGGTGAAAAAGGGCAGACCAACGACTTACAGAAGTATAAATCAAGAGGCAGCGCCCAACCATTCATTCATTGCTGCGTGAGCTATGTCGAAGCGTTGCCCCAACGTCTTGTGCGAGGTGATCTGCAAGTCGCCCGGAGTCAAAGTGGGCTGAAGGAAGATAGCGTAGCCATAGTAAGTAGTGGTTGAGCGGCCATAGTCGTAGTAGATCGAAGAGAGGCTTTAGTGTGTGAGTGTGTGATACAGGGAATGCGTGTGAGGTATTCAAGGTGATCCAGAGTTGAGTATGTGCAAACAGTGGTGTCGGACACAGTGACGAGAGTTGGGATGTATAGGCGCTAGTGCGCCATAGTCTGTTGAAGTGAGTTTACATCTGAATTGTGTTCTCGACGTCCATATCTCTGAGCTTTGAGTGGGCGCTTGGCGCCAGTGTGAGTTCCCATCTGTTTGCGTGTATGCGAAGCAAAGAAGAAAGCGAGTCTGATAGCATTGGTATCGGAGCTGGTTCCCGTTACTCCACGCGCCATTGCTGTTGTTGATAGTCGGGCGCCATAGCTGAAGCTGCGCCATTGAAGGAGGTGGTCCGCCATAGCTGCGCCACTGAAGAAGGTGCCGCCTACCTGCAAAGAAGACAACAATGAAGAGAGAGAGAGAGAGAGAGAGAGAGAGAGAG